TTTTAATTTGTATAAGGAATCGATGCTTACTTCCTTGTTGTCTTAAAGAATACATCATCCCTGCAGCGCTCTGTTAGTGAGCTTCAGAGGCGCAGCTAGCTAACTGGTATCCATGTGTTTAGCTAAGCTAATTGTCAGTCAAGTCAATGAAAGGGAAAACGTGTATTTCTAAAGATGTAGAACTATTACTAAGGGCCATATTTTAACTGATGTACTATCCGGATTTAAAGTTGAATTTGATAGAGTATAAACCTTTTTAGGTTCTCTATTAGTTTTGAATTGTTATGCTTGAACTATTTTTGCTGTTATTTCATAGGAGAAATAATGCAGAGTTCCTTAACTGAACATAAACTTTGAGTGTTTAGAACTTATATCTTGTCTACTTAACCTGAAGTAGAGTTTAACACAGGTAATATTTATTTTACTTAGGGAAACTTCAAGAAAATATAGTTTTTTTGCAAGTTTCCGATAATTTGCTACTCTTTGCCCAGACTGGGAACATCATATTTCACTCATGCAATCCATTCCCCTTAAAATATTACCCTCTCCACTTCTGTTCAACCCAAATCCTTCATGCCGTGCCCTAACTCTTCCCTGAAACAAGTCACATAACACTCTTCCTGGCCTCTCAGGTCGTCATTCATTCCCTCTGACACTTTCTGTCAAAGACTGACGTTTGAGCATCCCTCACTGAACCTGTGAACTTTCTGCCACCTCCATTACTCCTCGTGAATGCAAAAGCAATTTCTGAATCTATGACAGGGGAATAATCTTTTGATTTTCACAACCTTGTTGCAAAAATCAAACAGGAGTCTGTTTATTCAGAGCCGTAAAAGATACGTTTTGGATGTGTTTAGAGCATGTGCAAACATTCACATAAATACTTTAAGCACTCATCTGTTGACACATCTCTCATCAGAGCTATAGCTGGCTCCCAAGCCTGTTGTGTGTGTGTGTGTGTGTGTGTGTGTGTGTGTGTGTGTGTGTGTGTGTGTGTGTGTGTGTGTGTGTGTGTGTGTGTGTGTGTGTGTGTGTGTGTGTGTGTGTGTGTGTGTGTGTGTGTGTGTGTGTGTGTGTGTGTGTGTGTGTGTGTGTGTGTGTGTGTGTGTGTGTGTGTGTGTGTGTGTGTTGAGGGTTTAGGCACGTTGTCTGCTAGGCCGTCCAAGAAGCCCCAGGGCACCTCAGTAAAAGAGATAATTATCTTTTATCTGCTATGTTGTGACGGGAGATTATGGTTCAAATTTACGATTGTTAAGGAGACAATGCAGCGCGAGGCTGCTCTTTTCAAAGTGGTGAGGGGGTCTCGAACAAGTGAGAGAACTCCCACAATGCCGCAGCAGCTCATCCCTCATGTTTCAGGCTTCAGGTCTTTCGAAACAAAAGGAAAGGATAAGACCTACAACAGCCATTTACTTTCAAAAAGGACAATAGTAATCCTTTAACATATTTATCGATGCTATGTAAACAGCAAATGATATCTTGTATAGGTGAGTGATATTGAGAAAGATTGAAGATACCGCAGACTTCATAAGGTCCCTTTTAGCTTGCTATGGAGCATAAAATACCTTTAATACACCCTTAGATAATACCTTAAATTACTACAAAGTGTCTGCAGAGATTTTAAGTTTTTCTGTTGGACGCCAAAGTCAATGTATAGCACTTTAAACACAGTTCTCAGCAGTTCTTAAAGTTAAATGTACCACAAAAATATTCATTGGATACATAGAAACTGCTAAACTTAAGATTTAACGCATTCTAGGAAAACTTTATTGAGTGAGATTGCTTCGTTTTTTGCTTTACTGGCTAATGTATTTGAAATAGACTTTTTCACTTTCTATTTTGGAGATGGATGAGGATATCGATGCCCCTCCAGTGTCTGTGCAGCTTTAGTCAGAAGCAGGTTAGCGTAGCTTAGCAAAAAGACTGTAAACAGGGGGAAACAGCTAGCCTGGAATCTTTGCTAAATGGTATTCGTGCACAATTTGTAAACTCAAGCTGTCAGAAAAGTTACACTTATTATACAAAATGTGGATAATAAGGGATTTAAATGTTCCCTTCTCATTAAACACAACCTCAAATGCAGATTGACACTTTGGCCGCCAAACGTCCATTGTACATTTGAATGATAAAAACATACTATACAGAGTCTGATAAATGTGTTTTACGTTGTTCTTTTGTTTTTTTTTGCTTTATTATACAACAAATAAAGAATGGAAACTGTTGAGTTCCAGCCCTCAAACTCACAAACTCTAGACTGCAACAGACATTGACTGTCTTAAACATAACTAGACGTATTCTGGGTTTATTTGTGGGACAGGAGAGAACCATTCACCCACAACACGCTGCTGACTCCCCACATGTGACCACACTGACACAGATTGGCCGTCCTTCAAACCAATATTACCTAAACTAGTCTCTGTGTCTGTATGTGGAAACTGTAGCAAACCTTTTGATACAATATGAAAAAGGCCTATCCTGTACAAACACATGTCTACTTATAGCACTGTGAATATCATAATAGTTTCAGATTATTTAAATGTTTAGTATTCAAAGTAGCCAAATTCCTCTGACATGTTGACCCCAAATCTGACCTGACCTTTTCCTGCAGTGACAGCGGCGCTGCCTGGATGAAGATGGACTATTCCTTCGAGCCGCTTACAGCCACAAATCTGTCATCATCCTCACCTGAAAGACGAGAGGCAGACGCAGGAAGAGAGACAGACAGACGGAGAGGGAGACAGAAATAAGTGATTTGTGACGACGGTGACCATGATGATGGAGGGAAGAGGAGATCACAGAGAGGTTGTCGGTCCGTTTTTTACCCTCACCTGAGCTAGCCGCTGCACATCCAGTCACCCTTGGCAGACGTCCACAGCCAAACCGAGGGAAAAAAGGTCAGTCAGGGGCCATGGGGTCCCACCGCGGGGCAAAGCACTCCTCAATCCCTCTGTACACACACACACACTATTCCCATTCTCATCCCACATGGCCCCTTGACCTCGCTATTAAAACACAGAAGCAAATCTCCCGATTGGTCACGGCGGCTCAGAAACAAATGATGCCAAATACCTGACTTCTGTATGGCCTTTTCTGCAGGGAGGCATGAGAGGGCTGCAGCCGCCGGATTTGGCATTCCACTTGTGCAAATATATTCCGATATTGGAAATGTGGTTCCCAACAGTCTGCATGATTTTGGGTTAGGGGAAGCTGTGGGAGTTTACAGGGCAACTTTTCAACACTAGCTACCAGAACAAACGGGGAGTGTTACGTAAGAGGGGATTGATTTAGCTGATGATGTGCAGAAGAGAGCAGTTATATAATAAGAGAAGAGAAGAAATAAAGACATTTGATATTTTCGTATTGGATGTCTTGATTTAAGCACCTTGTTATTTACTCCTGCAGCCCATCAGGGAAATGTACCTGGATGTTGTGAATCAGAGGCTAAATGTCTTTGTTTAGGTTGTTAGTCGGCTTTCATGCTAAAAAGACAATATTGAATACATCGCATCTTTGCTCTATCACTAGTGCTCGGCTCTGATTCTTTGCTGATCATTTCAAATACTTTTATTTCAATCTGTAATGTAGAAGACGTAAAGCGGTTGATGTTGTCTTCGAGATTCATGGCAGGCCAGACTAAGATGGAAATAGTTATATTAACCTTTTAGTGGTTTTTACAGTGTGTTGGATTTGTTTTTTAAAACTTGTTGTAATTGCATCCCTATTTCTTGTTAGAGGAATAATATTACTTAGCTTATTTTAGTCACATTCTATCATCTATTGCTTTTTTTTTTAAGTGCACTTGTATTACTGTTTGATTTTCTACAGGGTTTGCACTTCAAACTGCGCTACGCACTATGGTTTCAGCTCTTTAGAACACACTCTCACAATAATAGCAATGAATTATCCATAAAAACACTCACTAAGGTCGTTTTCTTTTCTCCCTTTGTGCTTAATATCACATATAAACTGTAGAGCATTGTGCGACGTGGTCAGTTTTTGTTTGTGGTCTTCAACCAGTATTGAAAAAACTCTTTAAGAAAAAACTCATAACACATTTGTACAATGTAGCCGTTTAGGAAGCAAACTCCTGCTCTCTGCTGCACTTTCTCAATGCATTTTAACCTGTCACCTGATTGTGTGTTGAATTTGCACTATCCTCCTTTTAATGAACAATTTCATTGTTGTACCTTTAATCTAAATATATGTTTTATATATGTCTACTCTATGCAATTTTTTGTTTGTTTTTATGTCTTTTACTGGTATCTGTATTCTGTGTGATATCCATTTTCTGTGAAATGCCTACAGTATGTGAAGCACTTTGGACTGCACTTGTTGTATGAAATGTCCTATACAAATAAAGATTATTATTGTTTTATCCATGGAAATTCTACAGTGCATTCTTGAGCAGAGAGGATGAACTTTTGAGTTGTCTTACAAAAAGACGTCATAGTATTCAAATGTTGAGGACGATCGAGACACTGTGTGGTTATTTCAGCGGTCAAAGCTCCTCTTATTTTCCTGCTAATTTCTCAGCAGTGTGAAGGTGATGCATATAGCAACATGTGTCTAGAAAGTATCTTAAAGTTATATTTATCAGCATCTCTTTGATATGAAGTGTGAAAGAAACCTGATCCTGAATCAGTGGGAAATGCCTGAAATGATGCTGTTTCCTGATGAATCCGCCTCGCTAGATGAGTTGTATTTGTTTGATGTGTGTGTACGTTGCTCGGTGTGTATTTATGTATCAGTAGGATGAGACAAAAGCCCCTTCAGAACATGGTGCCTGTGTGGCCTGGCCTCTGTGACCCTGCCATTTGATTTGTTCCTCCATGGCCACTGTTTATTTCTGCTCTTCCTGTTTGTGCTAAACTGACCGTAAGAGTCGTTCCTGTGAATGCTGCGTAAAAACAGAGTGGCAGGGTGTTGCTGGTTGTGGTTGTGGTGAGTAGGTGGGGTGATGTGTCAAAGATCACAGAAAACACGGCTCTCGACCACAGTGCTAACATGTCAACAGAGATTAAACTAGTTTATTATTTTCAAAGAGGAAAAAAAATTACGAAACAAAAAAGCAGTCATATTTTACACTAGTGATTATTATTAAATTTTTACAACCATTCAGTCTGCATAACATAAAGAAATAATTCTACATCTTTGTTTATTTCGTATTTTTGGTACTCTGATTTATACATACAAATAACAAATACAGGAACTTTTTTCACAATGCATATAATCTGTGGGCAGGAAGAATGTCTTCAGGTCATGTGTATGTGTGTGTGTGTGTCTGTGTGTGTCTGTGTGTGTGTGTGTGTCTGTGTGTGTGTGTACGTGCACGTGTCAACACAAACCAATTGCCCGAGACCTATAGCACATCCAAAAAAAAAAGGTGAGAGCCAGAGCTGCTGACTCTGCAAACTTAATGCAACACAATTCACGCAGGCAAAAACCGAGGCCTGCCCTTTCTCAAGTCTCTCCTCTCGTCCCTCACCTCCTCCCTTTTCTCTCTCCTCAGGGACTCGGAGACGTCCTTTCCTCACTCCTCAGGCGGCAAGTCTCTCCTACTGCTGCGACTCGTACCCTTCACGTCGTCATTAGCTGCCCATGGGCATGTTTCCTTTTTTTTTCTTACTTAATTAAAAAGTCTTCATTAAATGTACTGTATTTCATACAATTTGTACAAATATATTCAACGTCTATCTCCAGTAAGAAGAACAAGGGGAACGGGGGGGTTTCCTGTTACACAGGTGCAAGGTGAAGAGAGGTGGGAGTGGAAACTTCTGGAGAGGTTGTTGTAAAAGTCTGTTTTTGTGATGTTCGTGGTGTGGAAAAATGGCTTTTTGTACACAAATGGAGCTCCTTATCATGTGGATCAGCTGGGAGGACAGCCTCTATGTGGTGGAGGCGGCGTCGGATAAGGAGAAAAAAAAGTTCCCCTGGTTGGAGGAGAACAACATCTTCCCCCTGGAGGTCAGTGCGCCACAGTCAAGTCTGCAAAGCATTCACATCGCAGAGGTACACTTTTGAGTTTATAAAAATAAGATACAACTGAGGAAGAGGATAAGGAGCCGGAAGCCTGTCGTTCTCGCACCGCAGCTGGTGGGGGGACAGGGGGGGCTTAGGTCGGACCGAGGAGCAGTTTATTTGTCTTTTAGGATATGGAAGCAGGTCAGCAGAGGTACCGAGGGGGTGTGGTGGTGGCGAGGGTTCAGGGGCGGGGCAGCGCAGGGAGCTCTAACCCATGGCTGTGACCATACTGGAAGGGTGGTGGGGGGCGAAGGAGGGGTGCATGGGTGTGGGGGTGCTCAGCATGTGGCCGGAGTGCGAGAAGGGAGGGAATGACGACATGTGGCGGGAGAGGGCGGCCGGGCTGAAGGAGCTCTTGTCCATCAGGCTCTTGGAGAAGTCGTCCATGCCGTCCTGGGACTTTTTGCTCTTCTTGGACTTGCTGGACATCTTCCTGTTCCGGGTCTGGATGCCTTCCTTCTTCATGGTCAGAGGTCGGTTGATCTGCTCTCGAAAGGAGACAGAGAAGATGGCAAATTAGTATTTTGGGATAGAGTGATAGAAATCCTAAAAGTGGAGATTCAAACATGAAGACATCTGTAGTTGTCGCTCCATTTACATTAAGAAACACAATAAAAGAGAAACCTTAAGTGAAGGGTGTCATCACATTTGAAAATAAGAAAGAAAATGTGACACACAGCTTTTTAGTCTGCTTTGAGGCAGAATTTGGGGTTTTGGGGAGAGATAATGATATGTAATGGAGTCCCATTACGGGGAAAATCTGACTGTCCCATCCTGAAACAGAAGATTGTTTATATTGTGTTGCACAGTGTGTGTGTGTTAGGCTGGATTTAAATGTTGATTCGTTTAGGCTGAACTGTATCTGTGACTGTGCCAGAAAGAAAGAGAGAAACAGGAAAGATGGAGGGGAGATGGAGCGAGTGTGCAGAACAGAGACGGAGAAGGGTCTGGCAGCTAACGGCGACCACAGAGACACATGGCCATCACGACCGCCAGCGCCGGCCAAGTCCTCCTCTCCTCCCTCCTCCTTAACCGCGTGGCCGTCTTCTGGCCAAAATGGCCCCAGCTGCCATATTCCAGCATAGGTTTATCTGGGGATGGGAGCTGGATGATGGAATTCGGGCTTTGAGCAGGATTATGAGGGGAGGTGGATGAGGCCGACTGGCTTCCTGATCTTTCTGAGAGCTTCTTCCCGGGGAAAGGGGAGATTCTTCCTACTGCCTGAGACATTGGCATTTTAGTGGCCTGAGTGATTAGTGGAGGGCAGAGATCTATCTGCAGTGATGTGGTTTCACTCTCTAAGATGTGGCTCCATACTGGGGGACTCTCTCTGCCGTGCTTCCAGCTCTAAGGCATGTTACACCCACCTAGAGCCAGTCAGGCCTGCCCTTTGATGCTGAGATGTCTCACAGAGGAAGCCTTGGGCCTCCGTCCTGCGCCCGGCCGCCGCCCAAGCACATCAAACAAAAGCCAAGAGAGTATAAGTCAATGACCACCGCAGAATACACAGAGCAGACCCTCACATCCTCTGTCCCAACACCAGCAGCTAACCACCTGAAAGCTTGCTCAGAGGTGTCAAAGCTGAGCACACTGTACTACGTTCAGAGATCGAAAGATGAGAAAGACATCTTTCACACGCGGTGACTAAACCCTGATTACTGAAAAGAGTCTGTCTGTATTTTTGGTGTTAACAAGGCCTCCTGTTTGTGGCAACTTTTCCTGTGTTCACAAGCTTCTTAAGCTTACGGGACAACACACTGTACCACCAAGTGTTTTGGGACACACATGCAGGCGAGCAGGGCTAAAGTCTCCATGCAAAATGTGGAATTTGTTTCAAAGGGAGCAACAGAAGTCTGGATTTACCAAAATAAACTCATTTTACAATTACTCCAAGGTCAGGGTCAGTTCAAATGCTAATATGTGGACTGGGAAATATTATTCTTCTCTCCTTTTAACCTTGGTCTGAATCTGTTTCTGCAGCCCTATGCCAAAAGTAACATGGGAAAATGATTTAGTGTGAGGCGCTTGCGTGACAAGCATGGAGCGGGATACTCTGCCCCTCACACACAGGAATATATAACCTCTATCTGTTGACTGAAGAGGGGAAATATTACCTACATGTGGCCTCAGAGAACTTATTATTATTATTAGTTACAACTACAATGGCTTTTTGATTAAAAGTGACAGCTTTGTGCTGAGGAGAGGAGAGAGGGGGGGAGATAAACGAGTCCCTGGGGTCTTCAGATTGAGGTTGTGAAATGATGTGGTGAGGCGCTAACCAACCCAAAACGAATCAGGCGGATTGGTGGTCAGAGGGGGGACTCTGAGTCCCTGGCGAACCAAAAGGCTAGAAATAAAAAGAAAAAAAATCGGCCTGGAAATTAATCGAATTTTAATTAAGCCCCCTTCTTTAATATTCAAAAGCGAACCGGCTGCGGGCTTGGTTCACTTATACATTTTAGATTCGCACTTACTGCCAATAAATCCTATTAATTCCACACTGTTTGTTATCGCCGTGGCCCGGAAATCCTCTGCAGGGACAAATCAGATAAAATATGCAGAGGAGTAGGGCAAGGTGGGACGTGATGAGAGAGAAATAAAGATGGAGATGGAGGAATAAGTATTCAGAACATGCTGTTTGATGGGATACCGAGATCTCCTATGAAGGTTTATTACTTACATTGTGCAGTTTGTAGTACAGGCCGCAGGCGTTACACACCGGATCCCCGTTGGCGTTTCTCCGCCACAGCGTCGTCGTCGTGGTCTGGCAGTTTGCACACGACGTCCCGGCACGTCTGGCTGCAGACTGCACAAACACAGAGGGGCAAAGAGCGTCACGTGACCAGGTAATTACCCAACCAACATGGATGCATTTAAGATCTACATTCAGGGCTGCAATTCCTGTAAAAAATACGTGATTCTAGCACTGTGATAAAAATGAAAATATGGCGTTTGTTGATGTGATTTAATAAATAAATATTGGGTTTAAATAGATCACATAAAAAAAATCGTCTTTAAGGTTGTTTCTTTGTCATTTTTGCCGACATGTATATGGCATCTTGCATAATAGCCTACAACATATCTATAAATGCAATAAGAAATTGCCATTTTACTTCCTTTCATTTAAATTAAATGTCTACGTTTTACTTATGTGCATTGTGTTAAAGCTATTTATAAAAGACAAATCGTGCTGATAAAAAAAAAAGCTGGATGTACATTGTTAATGTGCACCCCATAGTTCTTATTTTGTAATTTTAAAAATAGCTTTAAATAAAGACAGAAATACCTAAATCAGAGCTGCTTTCACTCCAGGCTAAAAATAGCGTCATAGAGCACATACCTCCTGAAGAATAAATATTTACAGAAGACATAAAAGCAGTGCCTTGAAATAGGAGAGCTATTAAATCTGATTAAATGTCCCCTTTAAATGCATGGTTGTGCCACGAAAACCCGTTTAAAATGTCGACCTCGTGACGTGAAACAATGCAAGTGAAAAGGAAGAACATAAAGATTTATTATCGATTAAAAGACTCTTATATAAGATGATTCTAAAACGGTGACAATATGGAAAGAAAATAATAAGATACCATGCAGTGAGATGAACCATGAGCAATAATTGCACGCCAATTAAAAGCATAATAAAAAAAGAAAATGTGGATATTTTTAGCTTCGCTGCAGGCTACAGCAGAGTAAAAGCCTCTCTTCATCCTGACACAGTGAAAGTCATGTCTTCCATGGATTTACTGCCTGTCTCACGGCCCAGTTTGCAGCACTGGCCTGACATTGATGTTATAATCTCTAAAAACAATCGATAGACAGGTGAGCGCAAAGGACACACTAACGTTAAGGACTACATTATCTCAGGGAGGGATTTCCAATTATACACACGTGGTGGCCTAATAACCCCTGCTGTGTGCTGTGAATAACCAATCAGCTCGGAGGAATAAGCCTTATTAAGTTCGAAGATGTGTTTGGCTATGATCTTAACCTTTACTTCAGTCCTTTTTTTAATTATTATTATGCTTGCTGTCAAATCAGCAAATAATCTCTTCTCTCTGCCAAATAACATTACATTTGAGCATACGAGCTATTATTAAATCGAAATTGGCACATTGACAGGTCATCTATTGGTTCTATGGTGTCACTTCCTGGCCTATAAATAAGATTATTTTTGTTTTAATAGGTCAAATGTGGCGTGCCAATTACCCACTTTAGCCACCAACCGCGCGTATTTAAGGGGAGAATCTAACACTAAATAATCTCGAGTCGTGACTGCTGGCCTCTGTGTTTTGACTGGGGAAGCGGGTTGTGTTGTTAAAAGCGACTTATCTGCGCTGCTCAGATATCCGGCAGCCCTTTCCTGGGAAGTCAGGTTTTCACATTAGAGGCGAAGAGGAGAGAAAAGGTCCAGGACTGGACAGCCATACTTGCCTCGAAAGATTTTGCTCATATAAGAAGGCAGGGGAACTTCTCTAAAGATTCAGCTTTGATGATAGGGGCTTTCCCTGACATAACTGCTAACAAATAACTCGACCTGGAGCATTCATAAGTATTGCAATAAAATAGCCTACAAATGTATCGTAACATGTCAAAATAATGTTTAAATGATGGAGCTCATTGTGCGTTTTTGAATGCAGGCCTGCAGCCACAAGCTACAGAAGCTCTCTTTAATGGAGGCAATGCATCTCCAGAATAATACACATGGGGCCTAAACAGAATAATCAATGACAATTTTAGCAAATAAAAAATAGCATCGTCATTGCATTTAAAAAAAAAAAACGGTGCAGTTTTTCTATGGTAGTATCTGAAAACAGAGACCTGCACTTGTCGAGTCAATTTCCTGCAGCTAATAGGCCTACTTCTTCCTGGATAGGGGAAAAACAGAGAGAGAGACGGAAATGTCATCAATAGAGAAATGTGGTGGAGACGTACCAGCCGCCGCTTGGGTTTGATGAGAGGGCGATTCTGCCCGTTCATCTTGTGATAGAGTCCGCAGGCGTTACACAGATAGTGACCCGTACCGTCCCGCCTCCACAGCGGAGTAGACGTGGCCCCGCAGTTCACACACTCTCTACCTTCTGCAAGAGCCACCACACATCCACACACACGCACAGAAAACATGGGAGAGAGTACCAGGTCAGTTAGTCCTTGAAAAATAATTATTGATGCATGTCAAGACACACATTACATCTGGTAAAAACATGCAATATGCAGGAAAAGCATCAACAACCATGATAATGTAATATTTCAAATACAGGTATGACTTATACTGCAGCACATATTTTATTTTTACCACAAACATTAACTCATTAGACACATGTAAATGTTGATTATGATGAATAGTTTTTGTTGAGGTCCATAAAACAGATTTTTTTTTTTTTAAACACCAAATATTTTAGACATGGTTTCATGGTTTTAAAAATATTCCGTGGTCATTTAAACAAAATAAGCCTTCTTATTTTTCTTGTCACCCAGTATATAGTTTGAATAATAATAATAATACGTTTATTTTGCCTATATATATTTTTTTCATATCAGTCTATCTTTTATTTTGAAACGATTGAGGGGTCCATGCTTGACTGACATTTCTCTAGTGACCCCGACAGGTGAGCCGCGCACTGACAGTGTGATTATAGAGAGGGGGGGGGGGGGCTGAAACTGAAACAAGGGTGCTGCAGCCACACTCACATTATTTGAAAGCAGAGACTCACACAGGGCTTTTGTGCAACGCAGAGAGCCTTTTTGCATTTTCATGCAGCCGCACTTCCCCTTTTTATCGAGCTGCAAAACACACACAGCCCTTCTTCTTCACACATCAGAGACATGTGTCAGGCTGGCTCGTGCCCGCGTTTTAACGTGGCAGACATGCAAGTGTCTAAAAAATAAATCTGTCTTATCCTGCTGCTGAAATCAGACATGATCCAGTGCATATTACTCGAGTAAAAACAGGCCTCAGCAATGCAGATTTAGAACATTAAACAAGGTGTGTTTGACGCGAACACTGAACTAATAAAGTCTGAATACTAATCATATCGGTAAATATCTTAAAACGCACATTATCCTCCAATTAAAATATGTATTTGCATTAAGTGTGTGAATGCTGAATAATCCCGATGATATGCATCAACTAATCCACAGTTTTCTATACTCCATTCAAAGCCTCTGATATTAATCTCATTACAGGAAACTGCTTTTCAGCTGAGCAGCCGCAACCTTTAAAATAATTACCATCCTTGCCTAACAATTTTGAAATATCTCCCCACACTCTCTCTTTCCCTTCCCTTCCCTCCCTCAATGCTTCGTGCACGGCAGAGGCTCAGCCGCCTTTCCCTGTGAATGAACGAGCAGCATCCGGTGCTCTCGCGCTGGATAAACAATGCAACTGTGGCGTGCACTGGTGTGACAGTAATGGGATTATCCTAAACATATAAACGGGGCGACACTGGCCGGAGAGCTGGCTTCCCCTCTGTCTCTCTCTGCCTCTGTGAGTGTAGAGGAGGAAGAAAAAAATGACCTAAATGAATCTAAGCATTCAACCCCTTTGCGTAATGATTGGGTTTTTTTGTTGGGGTAAAAATATCTTTACTCTGGGATATAGATTAGTTTTAATTGTTTTATATTGTATTTCTTTTCCACATATTTAATTTGGTAATTTTACTTGTATTCTATATTTTTTATCTTAATGTATTATTATTATTATTATTATTATTATTATTATTATTATTATTATTCGTATCATTATTATTTGTATTATTATTATTATCATTATATCAGATGATGAAAGAAAGCTTTGAGGCATATTGTACGCCTGATTATAATACAGCTTGACCTGCATGGCCTTTAGACCCAAAAGGAGAAATTGTTCATGTGAGGGATGAATGAGCTGCTCATGGGCATTTTTTGTATATGAGATTGAACATGGCTGATCATTACGCCTGCAAATCTGGGGAATAATGTTAGATCAAAAGGGAATGTAGTAAAGCGCACGCCTACCTGAACAGGACCTTGATTTTGGTCTTGTTTTGGAACCATAACTAGAGGATGACCCACCTATCAGGCTACTTGGTGGGAAGAGGCCTGGGCCGTATTCAGGGACATAAGATGGGTAAGAGGCGAGTGGGTGGTGGGCAGAAGAAGACCCTGCTCCGATTGACGCCACGCTCCGGCTGTGAGCTGACTCCAGTTTCATACTCTCGGCCAGGGTCACCTGGTACTTTATGCACTCTTTGTCCTCCTGTCTCCCGGAGTTAGACATGCCGGGGTCCGGGGACACGTCTTTCGGCGGGGTCGGGGGAAACGTGAAGAGGTGCGGACTGGAGTGACCGGTGGACAGGGAGGAGGAGGAAGCGGAGGGGTAGACGGACAGGCCTGCCGGGGAGCCGTGGTGCAGGGGGTTTTTGGGGAAGGGGCTCAGGTTCCAGGGAGAAGTGCTGTGGTGCGGGGCGATGCCTTTGCTGCCCTCCAGCCAGGGCAGGGAGCCGTGCAGTAATGAGGGACGGCACACCTGGCTACCTGGGTCGCAGAAACACAAGAAACATCACAACCTGAGCTCAGTCTGCGACCATACAAACACACTTTGATCAACCATTTAGCAGCGTAAAAGTCCAACTGTGTGCCTGAACAAGCCCTCGATTAATCACGTACGGACAGTTTCATTTTTTTTTTAACACAAAGCCAGGATTTAATTTGCTTATAGCTTTTTATTTAACATTTCTAACAAGAATATTCCACCTAGAAATCATTCGTTTCCCTGTTATGTATAGAAACGAGTTACATATGCATATTTTGCCCTGTGCTTTTTTCTTTTAAACAGGCCCCGATGCAACTAAATGCTTGTAAGTCAAAAGCCTAAATAGAGACAACGTGGTGAATTAACTGTTGAGGAAGTCTACGATATAGGGAACTCTTAAAAATAACTACGATCTAATGAACAATATATATACATATAAGTGAAAACATGCTATTTAAAATTACCAACATATTCCAGGTGAAACTGAGACATCTGTGCCAACATATCTATTTGTTTAAATTCATAACTAAATTGGGAAAATAAATTACGCGCGGAATTTTAATAGAAACATCTGACATATGGGTCAGCTGGATGTAATATTTTGTTCCATGTCTGTGAAGTTTAGACGGCGATAGAATGCGATATAAGCGGTAGACAGAAACCAAAGACAAACTGGAGGTAAACCATACATATTTACGGGGTGGTTTCACAACACTTTACGCTCTCAGGTTTTTTAAGACGATGTCAACTCAGGCCAAAACCGAAACCTGGCCTGGATCACAGTCAGATAATGCAAACAATTCCAAACACAGTGACAGTAATTGAGTATTTGCTTCAGGGCTAAATTACGCACATGGGATCTAAAGACTAGCCTAGCCTATAATGTTCACATTATTAAATAAAAGGCCTAAACAGGGGCTTTACTTACTGTGTGGAGGAGGAGGGTACCTCTGGACGGCTCGCACTGAGTTTCCATAGTATTGAGGGACGTGGTTCCCCTGCGCGTCGATATTAAAGAGTACATCCACATCGTCAGGTAGCTGGTACTGCGAAGGGTCCATGTATGAGTGGCCGAGGTGATGTGAGCCGGGGTGCTGCTCATTCAGATGATGGCTCATCCATCTTGGCTGATCCGAACTTACTTCCATTGCTTTTGTTGCTTTTTTTCTTTAGTAAATGTTCATGCACTCCGAAGCAAATCGGTACAAGTCACGAGATAAGAAATAAACTGTCCCAAATCCGTGTTTCTTTCAGTTAAATCCACAGGTTCCGCGCTTGCTTCCGATCACCTGGAGACAGAGATAATAATTAATTGTCTTATTGTTTTTATAGTTCACATGCAGTACGGCTAAAATAAATGTTCCCGGGTTAAAAAGAAAAAAACACAAAACCTACCCCTACATTACAAATGCAACAAAGCTGTTGTCATAATAATACGTCCAAAATGGAATCCAGCTCCACGCAGAGTTCCTGAACTTCTCTTTCAGAAGAAAAACGTTTTCAGCCAGGCTCAACAAGTAGTGGAGGTCTGCGCAGCGGATGGCTTCACTGACCGGCACCAGCAAGTTAAACTCTGTGATCAAATCTGTTTGTGCGCAGTTGTACCCTCTCCATTAACTCTCTCTCTCTCTCTCTCTCTCTCTCTCTCTCTCTCTCTCTCTCTCTCTCTCTCTCTCTCTCTCTCTCTCTCTCTCTCTCTCTCTCTCTCTCTCTCTCTCTCTCTCTCTCTCTCTCTCTCTCTCTCTCTCTCTCTCTCTCTCTCTCTCTCGTCTGTGTGGCGTTTGCTCGCTCACCCTTGCTCTAACCCTCTTTCTCTCTCTCTCTCTTGCTCTCTCTCTACTCTCTTTTTTTTTCTTTTTTTTTTTTTACAGTGAAGGCATTCTTTCAGGATGGCGCCAGGCAGCTCAATGCTTGCAGACAGCTGTGGCGCGACGCAACTTAAGGAGGGTCTGTCAGTGTCATCAGTTAAGGGGAGGGGCCTGCCCTAATTGAATATAACGTAGACCAGGGGGGAGGCAGGAAGATTTCTTTCAGTGACCTCCTCCAAAAAGATATCATTTATATAGAAGCTAATTCTTCTAAATAGGCCCAATAAAACTTTACACCCTTATCGTGCATGGAAACAAACACACACAAAAAAAATGAAAGAGGAAAAATTAAGCATCTCCCTCCTAAAGAAACATCTAATTAAAATAGAAGTAGTACAAAATAAAGCTTCTTTTTTTTTTTTTTACTACAGTTTGCATTTTTTTTTTAACAGCTTGTGTGTGTAGGAGAAGCTGCAGCAGAGCCTGTTGCTCTGGGCCAATGGCAGGTTGCGGGACATTTACACTCTTAAAATTGTGACAGTGCGTCCTCTCGCGGTGACAGGCACATTATTCTAATGGCAGATCCGGATTGAGCCGACCTACTCACCGTGAAGCAGGCGCGGACAAGGACAAACTGTCTTTAGACTGCGAAAAATAAATAAACTAAACCCTATAATATAGGCTTTTATTGTCTTTCAGTTAACTTACATGCATCTGAGCAATAACCATACCCTCAGACACACAGGCAACAATGGCTCATGTCATTATTCATTAAGAAAACAGTGCATTAAATGTAACGCGATAGAGCTCACAAGAAGTGATTTACCCCAGCTCGCTTTTCATCTTTTTCAGCTTTAACAAATTAACAACAACAATAATAATACAAAATAAAAAAACATTTTCCCATTTAAATCAGAGAGGAGTTACTCTGTGTGTTCAATTGCAAAGGGGGGGGGGGGGATCCTTGGGGAAGTATTTTATGTCTGAAGCCCAGTTTGGCTTCTCCATATTCTCTCAGATTGTGTAATATAGATATTGTGTGTTTGTGTGTGTGTGTGTGTAGGGGGCAGCCTCGGCGACGCTACTGGATGTGACGTCACCGCGGTGTTAAACAGTCAGGAAATGAGCCCTCACTCCCACTGAAGCGCGCAGCAGTGGGTAGGCATCGGGTGCGCGCACGCCCTTGCACCACGACGCACTATAATATCAGGTAGGGTCGGTTTAATGTGGCTGCACCAAAGTGCATGAAATTGACCATCACTGATCGATAGTATTCATTATAAAAATGCTTTATTTTAATCATCAGACATGTTTAACCCAAGGCCATGTGCTAAGGCGATGACTCCATTAGCTATTATTCATTTAATTAATTTTCTTTGATATCGAGGTTGTTCTGAGTGACTGAGCGAGATTTGGCAAAGCGTTGTATTTTTCTCTCTCCAGGATAGCCCTATACCTGGAGAGGGGGGGGGGGGAAGCGTTCCTCACTCATGCAAACCTGAGACTGAACTTGGATGCAAACTGCTGTAGCTGCCATTGTCAAACTGTCAGCGGACTCGTGTAATTATCCTCTTGAAAAGTATCGCGGAGCCATTATCCACAAAGTACCCGTTATAGGTGCTCAGAGGCAACACATGACGGTAAATGTATAGCCTCAAATCCCGATTATGTTTTTTTGTTTCTTGACTTGGATGTATCGAAGCTTAGAGAATGGGACATGGAAGCCATCCCATGTCTTGATTCCCGAGCCTCCGTGTCAATAACGCCGGAGCTTATTCAGCACAGAATACGACTGGCTCTCTTAAAAAGTTGTCATTTATAATCCCAAACTGTCGCTATATATATGAGGGGGAACGAGTGGCTTCAGTTCCTTTTCTCTGTCAGTGTGTGAGTCTAAAGCGTTGCTCTATTTCTGAAGTTATTGGCCTACAAATACAGAGCTGTTGTGCGTAAAGGTTGATTCATAAAAGTAGGCGAGGGGCCAATCGGGTTTCTTGATGGCAGAGATCTGATTATGTCAGCCAGCCGTGATTAAAATCAAAACATGGCACAGTTCCTTTTCTAAATCACGGCTGAGAATTTAAGACAGGAACGGATTAAACCATTGCCAGTGTGGGGGATGTTTTAGATAACGTCTGTTGTGTGTGTGTGTGTGTGTGTGTGTGTGTGTGTGTGTGTGTGTGTGTGTGTGTGTGTGTGTGTGTGTGTGTGTGTGTGTGTGTGTGTGTGTGTGTGTGTGTGTGTGTGTGTGTGTGTGTGTGTGTGTGTGTGTGTGTGTGTGTGTGTGTGTGTGTGTGTGTGTGTGTGTGTGTGTTTTGTCCCCCAACTTCCTGTGTGTGACCTCATCAGCAATTACAATCACTCTTTTGCCTCATAAATAATATTGTCCTTCCGCCAGCTGATTTATCAGAAGACAGTCACACAACAATAATAATAGGCTACTATAAAATAATATTTAAAAAATACACTAGCCTACTATATATTAGTAATACTAACAATAAATAAATATATAAATACATTCAATAATGATAACATGTTTAAATAAGCAGCACAAATACATGTTTGGAAGCAAATACAATATACAGAATTGTACAATATTATGAATAGAGTGTGTGTGTGTGTGTGTGTGTGTGTGTGTGTGTGTGTGTGTGTGTGTGCGCATGCGCGCGTGTGTGCGCGTGCGTGATCAAAAGCTTTGGTGTCTGGGTTTTAACATATTTTGCTCACTTAATTTCAACCTAAACTGTACTTTTGTTACGAGCATTTGTTCATAAATATAACATAATTTATATTGGCGAATATACACATGTGATATAAATGATAAAAACAGTAGAATGCTATATGTTTTGCCTGCTATAACAATGAAGATGCCCAGTCACCCACTATTTAAAATGATATCCGTAATCGTGATATGTTAAATGCTCATACATTTTGAAACCACCCCGGCTAACCTTTATGTTGAAATTATTTTACCCTGTGAGTCATTTGTCACCTTACTAGTCTTTTCAAGAAAAAGGAGCTGCTATTCTGTCAGCATGTGAACCAACTCTGCTTCTCAGAACAAAACGAGGGCGTCAAATTCTGCTTTGTCGAGCGCGTAAAACTTGAAGTGGATTTCCTAGAATGATTAAAAATGAGAACATAAGCCGTAGGATAAATCAGCTTTTACTTCGATTTAAAAAAAGAAAAAAGACAGAGTAGCACTTCGTATTTTGTGTCATTCTTCCCAACGAAAAAAAAGAAAGAAAAACAAAACGGTCTGCCAATTGACTGATGCTTATCAGTGTCTATATCGCTCCTCGCCAGACGCACTGATGTAATCTTTCATTTAGCGTGCAGGGCCTTTTCACCTCGTAGATCCCCAACAGAAACAAAGTCATTCATATTTTTATCTAATTCATTAATTCTACCTTAAACATGACACCCTTTTATTATCGCTAAAATTTCCTGAATTTTGAGCCTAGAATAAAAGCAAAATCTAATGTGTGCCATATAAAACAAATTCTACCACAAAATTCAAATGAAATCACATTCTCTATCTTTGTTTGAAAAAACAAACCATATTAATAATGTTTGAAAGCAAAACAATATTTAATCCAACATAAATGACCAGTGTAGACATTTGTAAAACAGATACAAATATATAAAATACCTATTAGGATCAAATCAAGGGTGCGCCACGTCTCGTCTCTTTGCATGCAGTAAGAGCTCTTGGCCCGTAACGTGTGATGCCCTTAATTTGGTATTCATTCTAACATCGGCCATATCAATACATATCGACCAAGACGAGATGGAGGAAACTAATAACAGAGGGGGGAAACGCAGCTTCAGCAAACTCAACTCCTTTTTTTATGACTGCCGGCAATAATCAGATCAATTTCACGGCTTCTATGGGATCCTGCTTATACCGCCAACCTGAGCTAGGTAATAGGTTGTTAAAAACCTCATCTGCGCTATTTTAGGGGGCCAGTTTTGATGTAGGTGGCTAAATATTTGAAGAAATGTAGTAAGCTGGCCAAATGTTTTTGTACATATCAATCCCAAGTGACACAAGCGGAAACCATGGCTAATTATTACCGTAGCTAATTTCGCTCTCGGTGAAAACAAATAACAACAAACTGCTCACAACGACGTTAAAAGGCATCAATGGCGGACGTTGTGGACATTGTATTATCAACACCCCTTTTCAGTGCACACAGAGATACATGAAGCGGCAGCTCCCTCTCTGGATTTAACGAAGTCCCGATTTCTTTTCGTTTTATTTTCATTTTACGCACACGTTAACCCCTTCACAAAAGTTTCCCATCATTCAAAAACGAAATACAAAGCCAGCGAGTGAAGAGGTAGCCTATTGGACAGAGCATTAAGGATGATGGAGAGCAAATCTTAATATTTACTGACCTGTAGTGGACGCTGATCGGAGACTTTTTTCTGCAAATGTGAAGAAAGAGTGACATAGAGGTGGAGACGCCGATGGCATTTAGAGTTAGACGGAGAGACAGTGAGAGTGGTGCACGAAGAAGAAGAAGCAGAAAAACCCTCTCAGAGATGGTGGTGGTGTGCGCCCTCGGTCCCGGAGTCACATCACCATATAACACACTGCGATCAGAGCACTGACTGTGAGTGCACACCAGCACTTCCGGGTCTGAAAGCATCACCGTAAGAGAAACAGAAACCCAATTAAAAGCTATAGCCACTTGCTTGTTTTTCTTGCACTATTTGTTTCTGACTCTTTTTATTATATATTGAAGACTATGTTGCATTTTTGGATAAGCCTGGGACTTTCATTGTCAACGCTGAAGCTATTGTGCACATGACAATACAACCTTTGAATGTTT